TGGGAGTGTTCTGGAGGCAACTAATGCTGCAAATGAGTGGTTACACCAGCAGTCAGAAGAATTTTATTTGCAGGGACTCAAGAAGCTGCAGGACAGATGTCGGAAGTGCACTGACTTCCTGGAGGAATATGTAGAATAGTGTGGCAGTTACAGCTTCCTAGCTCAATTTTTTTCTGGGAAAGGTTCAGTACTTATCAGCACCCCCTTGAAAACATTGGAGCCTTTGTTTTAAAGGCAGTTTGGTAAAACCTTTACAAACAGCACACAAAGGCGGCTGGTGCTCCTCATCCAAACAAAATAAACACTGGGAGTGTCCATCCAAAAGGGGGATTTTATTCGGACAAGAGGAGCAATGTTTGAAGGGTCCCAACGAGGCCATAAACAAGTTCAGAAATACAACAAGAGATAAACCAGTTATATGCTTTAAGCCAGCTCATGAAACCCAAGAATCGTTAACAGTCCTAAATTGTAAAAAACCAGATCTTGCAGTAGAAGGGAAAAAAATGCTACACAAAGGCTCCGAGATGCTGCAGTGGTGGCAGGAACGGAACTGAGGCACTCGGTGCCTGGGCGGGGTTATAGGCAGCATGGGGGAGGTGACGAGGCCATAAACAAGTCCAGAAATACAACAAGAGATAAACCAGTTACAGTGGTGCCCCGTATAGCGAGGATGAAACCCAAGAATCGTTAACAGTCCTAAATTGTAAAAAACCAGATCTTGCAGTAGAAGGGAAAAAAATGCTACACAAAGGCTCCGAGATGCTGCAGTGGTGGCAGGAACGGAACTGAGGCACTCGGTGCCTGGGCGGGGTTATAGGCAGCATGGGGGAGGTCCTGGCACCATGCACCTAAGCTCTAGAAGGTTCCAAGATCACTCTGCGCAGGCGCAAGTTAACCCATTAGTGTGCATTCACAGAGACCACGGAGAACAACATGGTCTTCTCTACAGTACTGCCTTATTTCCGGAAACTCCTTCCTACAGAGCTCAGAGTGCATTCACCATTACGAAGTTTTAGATGGACAGTTAACAGTTGCACTGCCCCTCTGGATTTAGATTTATTGGTGTTGTCTGGTTTACTTTAAGAGTGGTAGCACTGCACTTTTCTTGTTGCTGAATTGTAATATAATTGTTGTAAACTATACATTATCTTATTAATGTTACACACATACTTGTCTCTGCAGTTCAACACATGTAATCAAGACATGAGGCACAAGGAGAGAGCCATGCGTTGCGACAATTTCCAGAATAAGGCATTAACTATTTAAAGCCATACTTAATAGGAAAAGCAGTGATGTGGCACCCAGACATTGTTCAGTGGTTTGACTTCTTTTAAAGTACTGTACCTGTTTTAAATGTTGTTTTTGTTAACTAACCTGAGCTCTGTTGAAGATATGTTTTAAAATCAGTCAATAAAATGAAGTAAGTCTTCTCTATGTCACACTCTTCTTCCGAAGAAGGGCTAGCTACATACAGGCAATAAGCAAACAAAAATATGCATATCCATTCTGGAACGTGTTCTTGCATCTAAAGAACTAAGGAAGCAGTCATAGGCTATGCAAGACCAAAAGTATCTCATGAAGTTCCCAAAGGAAAATGGCAGTGGGGTGGATGTCCATGCTCTCTAGTGACAGTATGGCCCTCCCCAATGTTCCAATTCATGTTTCTTTTTTTTAAAAAAGTAGAAGACAAATTCCTTGGAGGGAATAAGCCACAACTGAGGCACACATATTGAATTCATCAGACATCAGTATAACACATCTTGGCATAACAGGCATTTTGGGTAACATATTGAAACTCTTTTGATGAAAGAACACACAACATGAACATCAAGTGCATTCCTCAAACATACATTTACAAAACTTTTTATTGTAAAAAGTCCCCTTCACACTCCAAATTCAAATAAGCTATGTAGAAAATACAATTAGGACCGTTCCATGAATCAAACGCCCTTCTGATAGTATTATTAGTCTCTACAAAATGGAAGTACAATTGTACTTAGAAGTTTGAGAAACTGGCAGTTCAGACCGAACTTCTTCCCACACTACCAGTCTCTGAACAACATATTGGCATCGTGACACTCCCACCCCATCCCACATGCTATGCAAAATAGTCTTATTTGTGTGCCATATGCTTCAGAAGCTATATCAGTGCTCTGTAGGTGTTGTGAGGAGGTGGAAGGGCAATTCTCCTAGCAACCGTCCACTAGGTCAGGCTTTTCAAGCTGGCACAGAAACTTCTCACAGCCAGGTGGCTGTCTTGCAGGCAGAAAGAAATCAGCTGTCAGTTTCAGAACTTCTCCCAGAAAATGGGAGGGATAGGAAAGCAAAGCAAAGCAAAGCAGGTCTCTCTCAAATCACCTGCAAAGTATGGCTTAATAAACTCCTGATTCCTCTTGTGTGGTTCCACCTCTAAGCAAAAAAAGCCACATTGGTAAAATCAAAGACTCTATGAGCTGGATTAAGTAGCTCAAACAGATTTACATACATGTGGACATACTAAATATTTTTCATAAAACCAGTATATAAATAAGAAAACACGCAATATTTTATTATTAAAAATAAAGCTGCCCTTTAAATTGTACAAAAACCAATGAAAAGTCTGAGAAAAATTCTCCTGAATCTAATAAGCCTGGATATCGAGACAGTATGTCAGGAGCACTTCCAAACACAAACAGCAAGACTGCCTCCAAAGAACATATACAGCAGATTCTTCACCTCATGGGTGATCTCGAAGCCAAAGCCCTCACCAATCACTACATGCCAAGAGGAGCCAAACTTCTTGTCCATTGTTTCTTTGATCATCTTGGCAGCACTCTGAAGGGTAAACATGAAGATCCAGCATGGAAGTGAACAGAAGACAAAAGGGAAGAAACAGCAAGTTAGAAGGATGAAATCTGTCTCACATGCCTCTGCCTTCCACTGAGGAGAATCTGCAGTAAGGTTAACACATTGGAAGAGAGAAACAAATTATAGTAAATATTTCAGCTGCCAATGTATGAACACCCAAGGATCTTAATTATGCCTAGCTTCCTCCCATAGAACTGATTTAATTCAGGAATTAATTCAAGAATTTAACAAAGATAACCTGAAAAGTGGCGGCATTACATGAGGAAAAGCAGTCCCATTCTTTACAGAGAATCAAGAACTAGCAATAGCATCATTACTATCGAGAGAGACAGTCATCCTGTCCCTGGAATGCTGAGAAATGCTGAAAAGGAGGCAAATTTAGAAAACAAGATCAGCCCAGCAAGTAACCAAAACCATGTGAGAATCTGAAAATACCTTGGAATAAGCTGAAGGAAACTTATTTATCAGTGGTTTTTCAATGTAGTTTTTGTTTTCATTTAGTAACTTTTTAAAAAGAATATGTCAATTACGTCAATAAATTCTTCTTCTTTTACTTCTGATGCATATTTGTTGTTTTCAAAATGAATTCGTAATGGTTCCTCAAGTTATATTAAAATAATAATAAATCCTATGGCACCTCGGGAACTAATACATTTATTGTGCAATCATCTTTACAGACTGACTTAAGAGTTCACTGCATCAATTGCAATAACATAATCCTCAGCTGCAAGTATACATAATCTAGTAGTTAAGGAGGAGATTAACCAGTTTGGTCAGAAGGAAGTAGAACATATAATTTACAGTGACAGTTTGCACAATTTCCAGTTCATGCTGCTCAATGCCAAGAGGGTTCTGACCTTTTCAGGGGGGAGAGGTTGAGACAGAAAAGTGGGTTAACAGTGGCCATTCATAACAGAAACAACATGACATTACGTGAGTTAATTAGCACCAGCAGTGCAATAAAAAGATGTTTATACCAATTGAAGTCACAGGAGACTGAACCTTTTGATGACTATCAATGTATCTCTTTCTGTTTTTTTTTAACTGAAGAACAACTTTTTAATGTCAGTTCAATGTCATGGGAGGCCAAAATGTTCTTCCATTATTTTAAAAACATAGCTTATTTATTGAAATATAGTTCTTGTTTACTTTATTATGATAAATACCTTCATCATTTTGTTATGAATTTACATGCTACTGAATTGTATATACAGTGGACCCTTGACTTACAGACGGCTTGACTTACAGACTTTTTGAGTTACAGACTTCTCTGGCCGCAAAATTTAGGTTTGACTTGCAGACTGAGATTTGACTTACAGACCAGAAAAAAACCAAAATGGAACAAAAACGGCCTGTTACGGGATTAATCGGTTTTCAATGCACTGTAGGTCAATGGAGACTTGACTTACAGACTTTTTGACTTGAGAACTGCCTTCCAATACGGATTAAGTTCTCAAGTCAAGACCCCACTGTATAGTCAATGAATGGAGAGCACACACACGCTACTGAATTGTACATAATTTTTGAATTGTGCATTGTTTTATGCACTGTCTTATTTATTTTCAAAAAATATTTAGAAAGCACCCCCCCAAAAAAGTCAGAATCTTCTTGCCATTGTGCAGCATAAACTAGAAATTGTGCGTGCAGAATGCACAATGTTGGTTTCTGTCTGTTATGTGCTCAAACATGTCTGAGTTGTGCAACTGCTTGCACTCTCAGTTGTGTAGCCAGCACATGGCAGATATGCTGCTTGCACACCTGCTCTTACATGCATGATATTTTACAACAGGAGTTTAGATGAAGTGGCTAACACATCTTCCTTCCAGGCTCAAAATAATGTGGTTCATGAGCTAAGGAAAGCTGATGAAGATGAAGGGAGTGCAAGACAAAGCTTCATTTCTATTAGGAAACATCATTTAGGTTAGAGTTAATTCTTGTTTGTCAAATAACTTATTTAATTCCACTGTTATAGATCAGACTTTCCCATTCCACTCAGAAGAGGCAAAAACAAATCAAAGAGTTCCTCTTGCGGAAATAATCACTGAGTGTCACGCTACCTTGGCAATCTAATCCGGATGGAAGGAACTTATCTTATACTGCCTCTGTTTCAAGCAGGCACAGGAATGCTCTAGTTTAGTGCTCTATTCCCATCAAAAGCTATTTTCACAGTTACATTGATTATCAGAAGCAGGGGTAAAAAAGTGTAACTTGCATAACTTGTCTGGTCATAACGAACTCACACAGATACACATGGTGGAGTTAAGAATTAAGCTACATTTGCCCTTTGCTATTATCTTTTATAATATTTGCTATTATATTTTATAATACACAATTTAAAAACAATGAGAGCCTATATGGTGGATTATCAAGCACACTCTTTTCAGGGATGGCCAATACCTCATTGTTGGTTGCATATTTCTCACAAGCAGTGACACATAACTCCATGGCCTCTACTCGCATTTCTTCTGGCATGTCTGTATGCTGGAAGAAAACACAAGAAAGACATCAGCCACTGGAGATTTGTCTACACATGCAGGGCCTGCTGTAGAAGCTATACCTTTCTATCACCTCCACTGGAATATGGTTGATCACCTTGAGAGAACCTGGGTCTGGGATAACATGACTTTCCAAGAAGCCACAGTACAGTACTAAGGTACCCTGAATTTTTGGTCTGTTCTCCTCTTGCCATGCTTCTTGGGAGCAGAACCACCAAAGACCCCAGCCCTCTTCAGTTGTTTCATTGTGCGAGACAATATGTGAGGAGGGGAAGTAGACTAGTCTTGACCCCCCACTCCACCCTGTGCGTGGATGGTAGCAGTTTGAGGGACAGATCGTTTGTTATCCATGAATCCTCTCCATGTTAGTTGAAACCCTGATTCTCCAGGATTCCAGCTCATGAGAAGAACCTCCTTCTTCGTTGTACTGTACTGATATACAAAGTAATACTTAACAACACTTTACAAAAGCTGGCTGTTCATATATACAGCTGTAGGTATGCAACAGTAATATGGCACCAGATGCAGGACTTGAATTTAAGTAACACTTGTTAAAGGATCTTCATTTCTAAATCCATATATGATATTCGCAGGAAGTACATTTGGATATCACAAGCCAGAGTTCAAGAGAATGCTAGCTTGCCAAAACAAAGCCTACATGCTGGCATATGTTAGCTAACTGCTATGGTACTGAAACCGCTGCTTTTGTATATGGTAATGGACATTCAATTCATGGTAATGGGGAAAGCAACTTGAATGAAGATGTTGCTTGCCGAATAGTGGGCTATAGACAGAAGTTCCCATTTTGAGCATGGTTGCTGAGGGAGCCTTAGGCAGTCATATCTGCACATATGTACCAATGCACTCTTGCTACAGCAATTGGCTTGCTTCCCCAGCCCAACTCTCCTGTTTGCAGCAAATTAAAATGAAATACAGTGGCATTGAATACTGATACACACTCTTAAACAAGATCATATCATACCTCTTCAGTCCCATCCTTACCCTGATCAGGGGGAAGCTGTGAAGTCTCTTATAGTCTGCCTCCTCTTTCTTCCCCTCCCCAGTGTCTGCCATTGTCTGTCCACTGTGACCCGTGGGAAGGGGCAAAGCAGCCTGTAGGGAACCAATCACATGCAGGCTAGAATTCAGGCCAAACTGTATTGCAAAAATAGGATATCCTGCTGCTTAGAGAAAAAAGGCAATGGGGATGGAATTAAGTCCAGTTAATATAATCTAGAAAACAACTATTAAGGCTATTTAGTAAAGACCTTTAAAAGAAAAAAATAACAAATTAGTCAGTAGGGCAGCTATGACATAATAAGCTTATAGCTTATATTGTGTTTTTTCTGCAGTTATTTCATATTATACATAATGATATGCTTGCATGCATTAATTAATAAATAATTATACACTGTCAAGTTGATTCCAACTTATGGAGATCCTTTTCAGAATTTTCTAGGAAAACTGAGATGTGGATTACTACTTCCTTCTACTAGAGTTATGATTTTTAATAGTAAAGGTCACAAAATATTGTGTATGTTTCCAAGTTCTCCAGGACTCTTCTTCATACAAGATGGTGAACAAAGCATAAAAATCAGATGAGTTAAGATGTTCAAGTCATGGAGTCTTAAGTTATTATGCTCAAGATGGAAAGTGGAAGGGAGCTACTGACATTCAAATTAGGCTCCATCAGGTACTATGATGTTTTCAGGTTACTCAGAATTCTTCTGAGGCATAATGGGAAGAAGAAACAAAATAGCATGCATGTATACTCCACTTGTTATTGAGAACTGTCACTCACACACCTTAGGGCTGTGATGACTATAGCTTGCTGATGCAGTAATTATAATTTGCCAAAACTCTGTTTTGGGAGCCAAAGTTATCAAAGCAGTAAGCCTTATATTTCCTCTCTGTCAATAGGAAACAGTGCTTGAGCATTCTGCATATTGTCTAGTTAATGTTCACAAACTTTATGTACTCATAAATAGTTTGGAGTTATAACTTAGGAATTCTATCCTTGGTCTAACTAAATTTTGTCACTTAAAGAGTCCTTAATCTAAACGAAACAAGTATTAACTTGAGAAATCAGAATCTTAACTTAAAATCAGTTTCCCTGATTAGTCTCACACTAGGCTGCTTCTTTCTAGTCTTTCTGGCTAGAAATATCTATACTGTAATGCACTGGTTCTTAACCTTGGGTTACTCAGGAATTTTGGACTGCAACTCCCAGAAGCCTTCACCACCAACTGTGCTGGCTGGGGTTTCTGGGAGTTGCAGTTCAAAAGCATCCGAGTAACAAAGGTTAAGAACCACTGCTGTAGTGGATGGACTATATCTTTAAATCCTGAAATATACCTCTCTCTCTCAATGAAACTGCACATTCTGAGCTTTCCTGGGTCATTTAGTTCTCTCTTGTAGCCACTTCCAATGTATGTGATGTTGATTGAGGACATTATATTTTGGCTGGAGCAGCTCTAATTCTTAAACTGGGGGCTGAAGTTACAGGAGATTGTAAAACAGATAACATGGAACATGCAAGTTTTGAGCCTTTCTTATCACTCCCACATAAGGGGAATAGTGAAGAGTAAGCTATTATTTTGCTACCTTGTGTACTTTCATTTGCATTATTTTTTTTACTGAAAGTCCTTCTACAGTACATTTATTTCCACATGAATTTTTTTTTACCATTTTTAAAGTATGACCTATATGCCTATTTGCATGCTTTTTTGAAAAATAAAAGTTTGTATCTTGCTTGACAAGGACAATTCATAATATTAGTTGGGGCAAATATGATAGCTAAAGACCTGAAAAGACAGCTCAGTGGTTTAGGCATTTGGCTGTGGAGCCTGAGGTTGGGAGTTCGATTCCCCACTGTGCCTCTTTGAGAGTGGCTGGATGACCCATAGGGTCCCTTACAGCTCTGTAGTTCTAAGATTTTGTTTGCCATGTTTTTTCAGGCAAACTAAATCAACCCTTATACTTTGGTAATGGTTCTGAAATAGTAATCCCTGCAAACAGCTTAAATGACTAAGTGGTCTTGGACTTTTCTACTTACGAATATATTAGGGAGATTAAAAGAAGAAAAAGCACCCTAAACCTGCATGGGATTATGTAAGAAGACCACCAATAATGAGTGTAATACGTCCTCCACTATTTAGAAAGGCCATTCCCTAGTAACAACCAAAGTACCAACCAAAGTAATGAAGGACAGATATGCTGCAAAAGGAATAAAGTTATCTCTCATCTTGCTCTCATCATAATGCACTGATGTCAGAAATTTCTTATTGGAAAGCAGCCACTTATTCACAACTAGTTATTTCCATGCAATGAGAAACAAGCAGGATAAATCCTTTCAGAATTGGAAGTGTTTCTGGGCCTTTAAGCTATGGGTTACTGGCCAGCAAGATACCCTACGATTTTACAGCATTTTAAACTGTCTTTTGGCTTTTTATTTACCCAATAACATTTTCTCACTTGACTCTTCCTGAGCTATGTTATCAGTGGTGTTACTGAATGATTTTCAAATTAACAAACAATAATCAAAACACTCCAATGTAACATCTTAATGGTCAATGATAACAATTGTGTGATTTTGTAACACAATGGCCAAAATTCTATTATGTAGTTTTGTCGGGCACTGACGTAACCCACAGTGACAAATACTTCCTAATTAATGAGTTCCTTTTTGGATCCCTTACTGCAAATCAGTCATATGGCCTGGCACACAACCAGGAATCCAAGTGGAGACTTGTTAATTAGCAGCAATTTGCAGCTGAGAGTTACTCCCCTATCCTTCCTCCAGGACAATTATGCAATTGGATTTTGGCTGTTGTAATAAATGAAATCACAATTCACACTTTTTGCATAAACTTTTATATTACAATTTTACATTTACACCTGTATATTTTATTTTAAAAACTTTCATAATTTAATAACTGCACAAAAGCAAAGCCTCCATTTTCATACTACTTTTACTTCCTTGCTGTGACATTTTTTTTCTGAAATATTTACTAATTCAAGTCTCAAAACAGATTTGAGATGCTCTAAAGAAGTGGTCCCCAATCTTGGGCCTCCAGATGTTCTTGGACTTAAACTCCCAGAAATCCTGGCCAGCAGAGGTGGTGGTGAAGGATTCTGGGAGTTGTAGTCTGAGAACATCTGGAGGCCCAAGGTTCGGGACCACTGCTGTAAAGTAACTTATAATGTGAAAATATTCCAAAATTAATGGCTGATCACTGGAGTACATATCTTGATTATCCAGAGGAAGCTGTCATGCAGGTGAAAAGCTGTAACATTGAACTGAAGAAAACCAAATGAAAGTAATTCTCTTGGGATTGAAATATGAAAAAAAGTTCACAAGGAAAGAAGAATCAACATGCAAATTATACCTGCATGGCTAATATGTAATCACAACCAGTAAGAGGCATGCTGTTTTTAATGTATTACATTCACAAAACGAAATCAGGACACAAAGCACCACAAAGTAGCCATGTGGTGCCTGAATTGTACTCGCATAAAATAGGAACTCTCCTTAATCTTCAATCAGACAGTAGCCTGGCAACCATTAGGTTTACAACTCCTATCAGTCCCATCAAACATGGCCACTTGGGGATGATGGATCTGTAGTCCAACACATCTAAAGGATGCCAGGCTGGGTATGTAACCTACAGTAAATGCTCAGTTTGACTACTAAACAATATCTGAATGCACTAAATGGGTGCAATTTACAGGGCTGCTTAAGGAACCTCAAAAGTTTTGATAATACATGTACTGAATTATTTCTTTGGTCTAGGATTGTTCACCAAACTGGGTCAGGGAAGCTGTTAACAAATTGCTATTTACCCAGTTTGGCTTGGACTAGAAGGCCCAGTTCAACCCACTCCATCCTGTAACCAGAACACAATTAAAAAGCTGTCTCTTCTGATTTGGAAGTCATTTTTTCAATTCCCAAATACATCAGCGCTAGTTTTGCTGTCTTCTGGGGAAAGAGATGCACTCTATAGCTCAGGAGCATTACCTTCCACGTAGCATTTTAAGTTAATGGCATGAGAAATAATCTCGGAAGCAAACTCCCCTCTTCAAATCCAGACTTGAGCAGAGATACTGCATATCTGAGACATAAACATTCAAATAAACACTCCCCCCTCCCGCCCCCAAAAAATGCTATTAAAAGAACAAGCATTGAAATAACAGACGACTCGATGCCTTCACAGTGGCCAGATCTACTGCCGGAGGCGACCCACGCCATCCTGCCCAGTTCTTCCAAGTGGCAAGGGAGCCAAAGCAGCCACCTGAGACAAAGGGGAAACTTTCCAAGTTGTTCAGAGGGCAGGAGGGCGTTCCGTCTCGGAAGAGATGTGACCCGTCAAACCGAGCGGGCTGGGTGGTTACAGAACCCGGGACTCCCCAAGGGCACAGCAAGCTGTACTTGGCGGCTGAGAGAGATGCGCGACTTTGGGACCTCAGGCTAACGTGAGAGTCCAGGAGGACCGAGGTCCGGGAGCACCAAGGGGGAAAAAGGATGCCACCTCGTTCATACGGGAAGCCCGAAACACACGCAAGGTCCTTCTCACCTGCTTCACCTCGACCCCAAGCCCCAAATGCCAGTCTCCCTGTGGTTGTTAAGGAGAGAAACGTGCTTGTCTTAGCAACCGAAGCCGGAAGACCCGCCTTTTTTCTACCATAGGACAGCAGTCAACGGCGGAGAAGAGACGATTGGTTCCATGTATTGTCGATTATACAAAAGGGTCCTTGAGCGGCCTCGGCAGCTGGGTCAAGATAGGAGTCTGTGAAATGCCTGACGAGTGTAGTCAGATAGGAAGTAGTTATTACAGGAGTTTTCCTCTGTTTTATCGTCTAAACATGCAAGAAAAACTCAAATAACTCGAAATCGACCACATCGTTACGTTGAATGTTAATAATTACAAAAATATGTTGTATTCAGGCACAATGAATTAGCTGTGCACTGTCTCAACCCACAGACAGCGCTTCTTGTCTCCTCTCTTGGCATAGGAAGGAAAAAGGCTGGTCTGAGTAGGCGTGTATTCAATAGTCAGGTGTTATCCGCCTCCCTATGGAGCTTAGTTATTTCCATAAGTGTATTCGAATTACAGCACTACTTTTCTGTGGCAAATGTAGACAGTAACATTCAGACAAAGTAAAGTTCAAATAAAAAAAAGTTAAACTAAAAATAAGTAAAAATAAAAAGTTAAAATAAAACTAACAAGTTAACACAGGAAAAAATGAATGAGTTAACAAATTTGACCATGCAAGTTGAAAAAAATACAAATATACCAGTGTTGATACACACTGTGACTTGAGAAAAACTGACCAAAATGTTCTATTTTATTTCCTTTTTGCACATAGTGTAAATTGAGAAAATGTATGTAGTGCAAATGCCAGATGAACTACTGTAGTATGGAAGATACTGACTGGTTCCAAGGTGGGACACCTTATATTTGACTGACTCTATGCATGCCATGGTAAAGTGGTTCATGGTAAAGTGGTAAATTCCATATAACAAAAATGCAGTTCAGGAAAACATATCTTTGACAGACAACATTTGGCGTTAAGAGTTATGTCTTTTACACACACCCCACACAGCAGCATAATAAGTGTGATTTTTTTTCCAAATTTTGTAACTTGCAATATGGTGCAAAATTAATATAGAAAATGGTGCTGGATATAGTGCTGCTATCTGGACTAGATGGAAATAAATTTTGCAGGAAATTTTCAAATATGGATTGGCTCAAAGAGACGTGTGATCTGCAGAGTATGGGTCACCTGTAGGAAAACAATAGCAGCAAACAGAAAAGGTCTAGACAGACTGTTTATGTTGTTTCAGCCCTACTTCAGCATAAAGAATTGTACCCAGCCAGACCATATTGTACAGAAAAAGAGTGTTAGGGAAACATCTAATATGTGAGTGCAATACTCAGACTTAAAAAAGAAATGTGCCTTTGCAGATGGGGCTGATACACATAAGGATGAATGCGCATAAGAATACAATCCCTATGTCTAATTAGAGAGTGATATAGAAATATTATTAGAGTACCAAAAGCAGTGTATACAAGCAATGTGTGTATGAGTGGTGCATTGGCTCGATGGCCTTATAGGCCTTTCCAGACTCCATTATTTTATGATTCTGTGCAAGGACAGACTGCTTATCATTCTAGGGATTAACCTGGTTGCAGGTTGCAAATGCCTACCAAGACAAGTGATCAATAAGGGAGCAGTCTTGGTTAAAGTGATAAAAAGAGAGTCCAAATCTATATACAAGAGCCACATTACTGAAGAATTCAGGGAGCAAGCAAAAGAATAGTCAAAATTTAAGCACAAGTCATAACATATATCAAAGTTATACCAAACTCATAGTCCAAACAATGAAAAACTATAAACGAAGTTAGCAGGTAGTCTAGGTGGACGTGTCAGTAGGTCATTCATGCAAAAGCATGTGCTGAGATTTGGGAACAAGGCAGGAACCGTTAGAGATGTATGTGTATCCAGCTCTGATGTAGATGACTGTATCACACAGCTCTAGTCATGAGATAGCTGCCAAAGAATAAATGATTTTAAACATTTGGGACCAGCTGAAATGACCAAATACTTTGGAAAGGTAGCCCTACATATTGTGAATTGTAGCAGCCCAAACATAATGCTACTAAGGCACATCTCACTGAGGTCACATCAGATATTTTTAAGAACATTGTTGCATTAGCCTCGCCTGTACAAACACTTGTCTGCACAGTGCAGGCAAACCCATTGGTCTGACCCTGCACAGCTCTTCTTATTTTCCTGTATTAGGAGCAGCTAAATTAGAGAAAACTGACTACTGTACATAGACAGCTGCTTTCTGCCTTTTCAGTGCCTCTGAAAAAGAAGCAGAGAGTGGTTTGAGGTTGTTGCTTGTTTTGATTTTTGACAAGAGAATAGATGTGAGGGAAAACTGGAGATGTGGGTCTGTATTCATTTTGGCTGAAATTCTGTTGTACAACGTAGTAAGCTGAATTAGAGTAGACCAGTTAAATCAATGGGGATTTGGTGAATCAACTCTTCATAAGTTTTATTGATTCAAATACACCCTCTCTAGTTGGGATTTGCAACTAGAGTAGGCCTATAGTGTCAATGGAACTTATGAAGAGTTGACTCACCACATCCCCACTGATTCAGAAGATCTGTGTTAGTGAAACTTGCTATGCTGAGTAATAGGATTTCAGCCTTTGAATCACAGATGAAGTTAATTTATGGTGCAGATGTGAGACAGACATTTATAGGAAAAGGCTGAGATTGAAGCACTCCATACTACCCCATATCTCCTAGTCTGAAAGTACTGAACAAAAATAATGTATTCTGGGGAACTGTTTCACTTCCCACCCCAGTATATCTATAATAGATATGACTGGTGGCCTGCATTTGCCTTGGTGGTTCACATTATGCATAATTCATATGTTATGGAGGCCTGACTTATGGAAATGCTAATTGGTTTAAAATATGCTGCATATTGTTATGTGTTTGGCTGTTTAGTCTCTGATGGCCAAATCCAATGGTTAGTCCTAACTACAGTACAGTCAGCCCTAATGTAAATCACATTTATTTGATGGATATACTCAAGTAAAGGCTGTCAAATCACTGCCAGTTCTCTCTTAAGCTTTATGTGTAGCAATTTGCATTTCAACTGTTTAGAAAAGAGCAATATTTCCATTTGCCAAATTACAGTTTTTCTTTTTTTGGTGGCTCCCCAGGCCCTTTAAACTTCTTTTAAATTAAACTTTGTCCTGTTTCTCAGGTCTCTTTGTTGCTTTCTTTTTTTAAAAAAAATCAAGGCTACGTATACTTTCTTCTTGTTGTATCCCTAAATAGCATTCATGTAGAATGTTAGTTTTTTTAATTTCCTCTCTTTGCCTTTAATCTCCACCATCTCATTTCCCACCCTATATGTATTCATATAAGAAATTCTATTAATATTTTTCCCATTGTTAGGCAATCTGTTGTTTTGTGTGAAACATGGACATATATTTATAGTTTCCCTTCTCAGTAGTACCATTTTATTAAATACTTTATATAGAACCCTTTATTTTTCAAAGGAAAGGGTTTTTTTATATCAATCAATGCTTCTTCCCTTTTGTTTTCGTTATTCTATTGTAAAAGGAGCATTCATATTTTTTATTTGAGGTTTCTGAATAAATGCATGGTTTCCTTTGTCTACTCAGCTGTATCAGTCTTGTTTAAATGACAGCTTCTGATCTGTGTAGGTACTAGGGGATGCCTACCTGTAGGAGTCATTGTACTAGAGGTTGACATCAGAAAATGGCATGCTATCTGGATTCTAGGAAATGCTGTCAAAAAGAAATTTTTTCTGAGGTCAGCTAGAAGTTTCTTCTTACTTAACATTATTCAGAAGGCAGTATGTTTATCATACTTCCAGACTCAAGAATTGTGAAACTGAAGAAGTCCACACAATTCCTGGTGACGTGTAGACCAACACAGCAGGAATGGCTTTGCAGTTAGGCAAAATGGGGTGATAGCATTTGGCTGCAAATACTAGGGGACAATAGTGGCAGTTTCCCAAGCTTTACCCATCTGTTCTGTATTGGAGGACAGTGGCTGATCCCACTGGTTGCAGATAACCATGTGTGCAAAGACAGACATGTCGGAATCACATGTGGTTGCTGGAATCAGATGTGCTGGTAAAGTCTCAAGGTGCAGTGTACAGTATATTGAACCAACCTTCCTCTCCTTTTGTTCATAGTTGCAAAATAATTTTCTATTTAAACATGATTTTTCAAAGACCAAGATTAAGGCCAGTATCTTTCTCCAGATCTGGTGAAGAGGATAGGAAAAATGCCCTTCCAGCAGTTTAGGAGTATAGGAAATTGCTTTACACGAGACAAAACTATTTGTCCATGTCTTGTCTGAATGGTAACATCTCTGCAGGATTTTAAGTAGCATCTGCCCTTTAATTCTTTAAACTTGAAGTGGATAAATGTGGATTGCTGATTTGCCACTTCCATCAGCCCTGACCAGCATAGATCACGGTGAGGATAGTTGGCATTTGCAGTTTGGCATTTGAAAGGCCAGAGTTGCCCACCCTTATTTTAAACAAGGATGCCAAGAACTGGCTGTGTGCTTGCATGTTATACACTGTTAAGCTGGAACCAATTTCCGGCAACCCTAATAGGGCTTTCAAGGTAAGTGAAATGTTTAAGGAGGGGGGTTTATCAGTTTTACCCTCTCCCTGTGAGTTTCCATAACCCAGTGGGGATGTGACCCGAAGTCTCCTGACTCCTAGTCCATCACTCCATCCATCACACATTAGGTACCACTGGGTGTTTATTTTGGAAATATTGTCCTTTCCACATGATGCTGCTGTTTAGGGAGTGATTACCTTCTTACTTTTCTCCTTTTCCCACACAATCATTCCCTCTTCTCAACTTTGCCATCTTCTTATTTTCTCCCCATTTGCCACCCAATTTCCTACCTCTTTCCTCTTCCCAAATTTTAAACTTTCTCCTCTTCTTTTTCCTTCAGTACCTCACCATCCACTCGGTTTTCTGTTTAAAATGATTGGTGAAGGTGAAGGTGATGTGCAACTTTGAATGAAAAGGTAAATATACTTTGCTGAATGTACTTTGTATGTGTTGGCAGGTGCCCATGCCTTTTTAACTCTGCACCTGTTGTCTTTGAGCAATGCATATCCAAGCAAACAGCATTTGGTGGCTGAGGGCTGAGATGTTTCTCTGGAGAGTGAAAGGTTTCATAAATGTTTCACAGATCAAAGATCCAGACCAGATTGCTATTTCTGGGCTTAGTCCCAGGTCTAATCAACAGTGACACCCATGCTTGTGCTGCGTCAGGCAATTGCTGCCACAACAGTCAGGCTTTCTAATGACTGTTTTTCTTTGATTTTTCTTCTCCGAGGTTCGGAATTAGGTTGTTTTGTGAGTGGTTACTGCAAGCAGGAAGGGGAAGGGGAGTACAACAAAGATGCCTCATTGCTGTGCCTTCATGCTGCGCATCACATATTGTAAAGTTAGTTGATGGAAAAGAAATGAAATGCCACCTAGATCGGCAAAATACTAATCAGCAACCTTGTGTTATCCTGTTTTCTGCAACACCTCAGTATGAAAGAATGTTGTGATGGTGGCAGATTCTTTATTTTATCTCTTAAAGGAGATCTGCTGCTAATGACATGCTGACAGACCCAGTTTGACCTGGTGGTTAATTTGTTTTTGTTTTTAAAAATGTCTGTTATATGAATTACACCAGCCAGCTATGAGAAAGATGTGGCCTGTGTGTCAGAGGTAAAAAAAAAATCCATAATCTGGGAGTTTTGGTATCAAGAGCTGGAAAATTTGGGTCTTAATGAATTGCCAGCAATATCAAGAGCATTCCCCCCAAAATGTTAAGATGCTAATTCTTACCATTACATAGTGATAATGACTTCAGCAGCCTAAGGTATCTTTCCATACATCTCCATGTGGGGAAAGGCAGAGTGTAAGCAATGTTATTAAGCGCCCTATAACTAATGAATGGATACCAAATATCTATCATTGCATTTATTTATCAAAACTGTGATTGTGCCATATCACTTCCAGGTGTAAGTAAGCTTCCCCATTAACAGTAACTTCTACAATCCTGTTTTTCTCTTTCCATGCAGGCCACCAGCCAAAAGATCTGTAATTTCTTATGAACTAGCAATGTTGCTTCATTCGTAAATTGATAACAGTCCCATGAATAGAGACAGATCAATTCTTAGATTCTTAATTTTGGCAGCTTTTTTTCCATTCTTTCCCCCCAAATTGTTAAAGACCATGTTAGAAAAAGCTGGGGATTCTCCTGGCTTTTGAGTAAGGTGGATTCTTATGTAATATCAAAAAAGAAGGAAATGCATCATCAAAAATGTGGGCATAATTTTGTGGAAAATGTGGATATGCTAATTTATGTATAGATGCAAGTTTAGAAAAGCCCTGTACAGTACCATAAATTGAAATACAACATACCTCACTGTAGCAGGGGAGATTGTGACTTTTTAAACATTAAATGTTAATGGGCTACTTCAAGATCCGTGGTGTCTATTCTTGTAGCTCTTTGTCCTTCAACCAGATTGCCACTAAGCAGCACTTCAAACAGATGACACTTTTGACTAGTGGACAGTCCTCTGTACAATAGAACACACACACACACCTAGTTTTGTGAGCACTGTGTGAAATGTGCTTGAGCAAATGCCACAGGATAGGGATAATGTCTGCAATGTTACTATCAAGGGGCAATGTGTTCTTTACCATCAGAAACCATGAGGCCTTTGTCATAACAACTTAATCATCATACTCCCTCTTAAGTAAATATAACTACCTTTGTTTATACTTACCCTTCACCTCACTGTTTCCTCCATGTATTTCCTTTCTCATCTGTCAACTTTATTAGATAAACTCTGGATGGCAGGCTCCTGTTTCCTTTCTGAAACATGTTCATTAACAGAACTGTGTGTGTGTATATATATATACACACAGTTCTGTTATATATAGTTCTGTTAATGAAGAACATGTTTTAAAAACTCTTCCCATCTTCCCATCTTAACATTATTTTGGAGAGAACCTTGAGATATCTCATGAGCTTTGTCATCTTTCCATCTCCTATTTAATTCCCCAGATATACAAAAGGGAATCAAATATAAACACCAAGTTTATTGTCAACCGTCAAATATACAAAAAAAAGAGGTACATGTGACATATACATGTGTGAACACATCAAATCTGATTTAACAGCTGTACAAAAGAAGGAATGGGAGAGAAAAGGAGAGTGTGAAAGTGACTGAGAGAGAGTATGTGTTTACCCTCAGGCATGGTGCATTAAGATCACAGTGTTGTAGAATGTGAAAATGTTTACTTCCATCCTCTTATCCACTCCTGTTTATTTTTCTCCCTCTAAAATGTTTTAAACCTCATTTGGGTTCAAGACATGTGGGAACATTTTTTCATGTTACACTGTTCATGGACTCACATTAAAATGGGTTTGTAATAGCATACTTTTATGTCACCACATGTACCATTTAGACAATTGTTATGTATAAATGCTGGAATACATCAAGAGGTTGAGAAAATGGCTTTTAAAGGCTGCTGCTCCCAGAATTCCACAGGTAATATGGCCTCTGGCCAAAACCCAAACAAACAAAGAAAACAAAACCCCTTCCAAGTTCTGGCTTAGCTCTAACTCATGTGTAGCAGATATACACTGCTTGATGTCAGATCTTTTCCCGTTAAAAGTGCAACATATGAAGCAGGAATAAAGATGGTTTGACCATTCAGATGTTGCTAGATTATAGCTCCCATAATCCCTCACCATTAGTTATTCTAGCTACTTTTGGGAGAAGCTGCAGTCTAACAACATCTGGACAGTAACACATTCTCCATCCCAGATAGAAACCAATCCTTAAAAGGAGATACCCAATTTTGTCATTAATATTGATCTCTTATCTGATCTATTGATCGTAATAAAGGATTTGAAATTGAGTTGATCTGAAACAACTTCGTTTGCTCCACCTTCCCTCCCCCATTTGTTCAGAAAGAAACTGAGATACAGAGAGAGAGAGAGAGAGAGAGAGAGAGAGAGAGAGAGAGAGAGAGAGAGAGAATATCCACCATTTTGTATCACCAGTCATGGCAAGTAGGAAATTTATGGCTAATAAAGAAGCAAAACACGACACAAGCAAATCACAAGATTCCCCAAAGGAAAAAAATAACTCACATATGTGTAGTTATCAGTAGATTCACAGGTTGCAAAACCATTGTGATATCAGGCACTCAAAAGGCATACAAACTTCACTGAACAGGTTCACCAGCACCCTCCATCTTTTCTACTGGGGTACTGAAGACATTTTCACCAGCTGCTGTTCCTGAAGTGTTATTAATTCCACCTCAGAAGTGGCACTATGAGAATAAAAAACAGTGGGGACTGGAACAAGTACAGGTACATAGCTAAATTACTGTGTGAATGTGGCATCACCTTCCTTCAGAACAAACCTATTAAGGGCTGGCCCTTATATGACATGTACATGTGAACTGCCATGAGTGTGCATTCACATCACATAGTTCCTATAATGTGTGAAAAGTTACCACAGACATAGCAAAGAAATCCTCTGATGAGAGAAGATGAAAGAAATACTTCAGCACAAATGGGATTTAATATTAGCTATTTTCCATGAGAGCCTAGATTTAGGACTGGCAGTTTGTAGGAGGTGGGCGAGGAGAAGAACCTTAGCTTAGTCAGGGTTTAGGAAGCTTTGGCATGTACGTATGTGTTTGTGTGTGTGTGTGAATGAGTAAAGTTTTCTAGTTATTTATTGCAGGGGAGTACAAGACCCTTATTTTTGTCGCCTTTTCTGTCTTTTGTTTTAAGCTGTACATGAATAGATTGCTTTCATGCTGCTTTTTGCTTCTTGGCCCAATAAAAACAACTTGTCTTTACTGTGACTCTGTCCCTTGATTTGCTCTGCTGTGGGGTGGATAGGAGCCTGTGGCCCTCCAGGTGTTGCTGGATAACAGTCCCAAGCATCTGTGACCATTGGCCATGTTAGTTGGGTCTGGTAGGTGTTGGAATACAAGAACATCTGGAGGACTACAGGTTTCATACCCTGAGGGTCTATTCTGAGGCCCTACCCTGAACTTTTAATTGTATACATTGCGAGTCTTGCCAAACCCATGTTACATTTGTAACTCTAGGCCTCATAACAGTCAAGAGTATTTGCTTCAAATGGATCCATGCTGTAAAATCTACCCTTTCTTCACCAGAAGGCTGCATCTTTATAATTTAATTGGAGTGAATCAGTGTGAGGTGACCTGCCTTGTGGCAAGCTGTAGGAACAGCAGGCAGCTTCATTCCTTCGGTTTTTATAAGATATATCTGCATTGTTAGCATTGTCTCTGTCTTCTGCCAGTTCATCATTCATGGTTTCCACACGAAGAATTCCAGGGACTGCAGTTTGATTGTGATTTTCAATGTGATCCTGCCCTCTCTCACAAGACAAATGTAGAGAGAATGATAATCAAACCAATGGGAAGCTGCAATCCCACACAGTATGTAGTGTATACATACTTATCTGGGAGAGGAACCTAAGAGACTTTCGTTTAGTAGATACAGATAGGAGTGGACATCACATGGTTGCATATCATTGCTGCATCCCATCATTTCAGATATGGTGCTTTTGAATGGAAACAGTTCACACATTTAACTGTGAGTTGCCCTATTATTATGTTATGAAAAAAATGGGATGGTCAGATGAAGGACCATGCATGTTTGGATCTCCCCTTTAGCAAGAGGACAGGGGTGGGAAGAAAAACTATGGCAGAAAAAAGTCAAACAAGTAAAATTCTGTGACTGCCATTTATACACTTCTAAACTCTGTCATTCCATATAAAATAAGCAATTATTTAAAAAGCTATGAAGAAATCGGGACTCTTACTCCCTGTTGAAATAAACAGAGCAATGGAATCACATGGCAATTCAAATAGTCCATAGGTGAAATTACATCTAAAATGGAAAGATGGATCCTTATGAAAAGAAGATTCTCCGCAGCTAGAATTTAGGCCTTTGTGGAATTAAATAATCAGTTGGCATTGCTGCCTATAGGCAAGAGATTATTTTACAAGATTTTATGAGTGAAGGCTATTATGGAACAGAGATTAGAAGGCAGATAAATCAGTGGTACAGTTCCCGGAGGATGCATGCAGTGACTAGAGGAATATTGGCTTATGTATTCCTAAATGATCAATGGCTTCTTGTGAGCAAATTTTATCAATCTGGGGATTTTAAAACTTGGACAAATTCTATCCACTCAGTGTCCACATCATGTCACTGAAAGTATCAGCAGAATGTGAACTAAGAGAAATGTTGGTGATGCCAGTTCCATTAAAAAGTCCCCTTTCACCACATTAATTCCTGATTGTTATCACACGTTGTTGTTTGGATATACAGTGGGCTGGAACTGTCTAATTGCCCAAGCCTTCATGGTGAAGGGCTTTGCCACTCATGGTATGAATCAGAAACAGTTTTACTGAGACAATGAAAAACACAATGTCACAATTTCTTTTAAGTTCAGAAGTACAGTACTCCTTTGCTCAAGCACACATGCAAACACTCGTACACACAGTTCTCCTCTGCCACTTCAAACTCTCAGATTGTGTCTGCAGAGGAGGAGAAACGATCCCCTTCCTGCCATAAACAATTAAGGATCCCCTTAAACAGGCAGAAGGAAGTAGCTTTTATACACCATTCCTTTGGCACAACCTCTCATGCCTTCATCTTCTCCTCACAGATCTCAAAACTTTGCTTGGCTGCACCTCCGTGGGCCTCAACCAGTTTTTCATCCCATTGGATGATGTTGCCTTGCAGATGGTGGGTGCAGTTGGCCAGGCCTGCAATCTCTGCTGGTGTCAGGACACGATCCCACAAGTTGAACTGAGAAATTTCACCAACGAAGGCCTGAGTGGCATCAAATCTTCCTCCCAATGTGTCCTGTGTGGTGTTATGTTAAAGAAAAGGAAGGGCAAATAAAAGCAACGAAAGACAAGGAATCAGAGAAAGGAGAAGATCGAAGGGGGGGGGAACATGGTAATGAGGAAATACAGGAGCAGGATGGTAACAGGAATGGAGGGGAGAGAATATAGTAATTAAAGATGCCCATTATCTTAAGCTCAGCATGCAATTTCCATGGAGACTAAGGAAAAAAACAGAGTTCTTCCCTGTCTTTATGTAATAATGAGAATAGGGAGATGATGTGACAGAACATTCTGCATGGCTAAATAACACAGAGAGTGACTACACAGACATTTAGCCTACTGTTTGGTCCACTGAGGGGAATAGGTTGGTTTGCTCTTAAAGATGGCAATCACACAATGTAATTGCTTGTGTGAACTAGCCCTGTCCTCAGAGCTATCCTACCCATATCTTTCTGGATCCTTGACAAGGGCTTCTATGTTTTGATGCAGGTGGGATCACTCTGTTTTGGTTTTTTTCCGGTGCATGTGATTGATGGAAATAAACCAAACTGAGACATCTACTGTCAATTTTCCTTCCTCTTTGAATTTCCCATACTGTGATGTGGCTGAAGAGAACAGACACTTAATAGTATTGGGAAATTAAACACTTCCTCTGCCCCACCATGGAGGGGAAGAGGAAGTAAAACAAATTTTACACTCTATTAGGGTGCCGTATTATTTTAAAATACTTATAGAAAAGAAAGAAAGAAAAATTGAAAACTTCCTTTTGGAACGTGCACGCAGACAAATGAACCACGGAGTACTGGTTGGCAGTGGACTCAGCTGCAGGCAGCTTCCAGGAAGACATTTTCAGTTTTTCTTTTATTCTTTATAAGTGATGCAACACATCAGTGCTGCCCTAATACAGTACATATTTTTAATTTCCTGTGCCCCTCCACAGAGGAGCTGAGAAAGTGCTTAATTTCTCAATATTGTGATGTGGCTATCTTCCCATGATATGGGAAATTCAAAGAGGAAGGAGCTAGACCAAATAGCTCACTTGAGGTGCAGATACCATTTGGATGCGAGGATGGTGCCAAATTGCATATCAGAACTTGACTTGATCTCTACCAACCCTATTTAGTCTGCTCCAGCTCATTCCAATGAGTCTGTGTAGACAAGTCTACAGCTTCTGCTCAACCAGTTCCTGTGTCAGCCCCTGACATTCTAGAGCAGCTGCTGGAGTCCTAGGATCTCGGAAGGACCCAGTGGCACTGGACTTTCCATATCAGGTTTCCAAGATGATGCAAACAACATAGCTTAGTACTACCTGGATTCTCTTGCATTCACATCATCATATTCTACTACAGTAATTTGATGCCCCAAACTAGGGGTTCCTCAAAAGATGTTCAAGTTATTCTTTCCTAAGACAAAATAAGGAATTTTAGACCCACCTGTTCCTGGCCTAAGATCAGTACCCCATGAGGTTTGACTGGATGCCAAGATGCCAGGTTTTCACTGGCTCCACGCTGTTCGCCATCTTGATATGCTGCCCATATTCCATCCCGTGTGATCCAGTTCACACAGATGTGGTGCCAGGTCCCATCCTTTAAAGTCATGGGCAGCAAAGCCACCTTGACAACAAAACAGAACAGGGTCTTAGGTTAAGTGGACAGGACAATTATATTTTCATAGGATGCCCTGCTGAGATCTTTCTGCCTGTTGCTAACACTCCTGTCTCTGTCAATGCCAAGATTAGGCAGTCCTCTCTCATCCTTTGTGTCTACAATACCAATGACAACATGAAAAAAGACTGAGGGATTACTGGTGAGAGAGGAGAGGTGGATTGCTACAAACTACTGTATCTGACAGCAGCAGAGAATGTGCTTTATTGAGTGTGTGTTTTTCGCATCTGACAGCAGCAGCATTTCTTTTAAAGAGAATGTGCTTTATTGAGTGTGTGTTTTAGGTCTATGTGTAATTCTAGCAGTAGCTCGGTAATTTAAAACTACAGTCTTAAATGTCTCTAGAAGGGGCTTTTAGATCTAGGGCAGCAAAATGTAACTGCCCAGATGTCTTTGGACTCCTCTGAAACCCAAACAGCACAGCCAAAGGTGAAGAATGCCAGGAGATGCAGTCTGTGGAAGTCAGCACTTCGTACACTTCTGTTTCAGGTGGCACATTGTGTTGCATATATCACAATGTGGCATACCAGACTCGCTGTTTTGGGAGGCTCCTCTTACTCATTTTGCAGACGTGAGCATCAGACAGCAGCACTGCATTATTTAGTTATACATCAGAGTCTCTGCATGCAAAAATTCCAGGCTGAACCCTTGAGATCTCTAGTTAAGGATCTCTAGCAGAAAAGATGGCAAGATCCTCACTTGGAGATCTTGGAGAGTTGCTGCAAAGTTGAACAGACAGCTCTATGTAACATGAATCAATACCCCCATAAGGTCAAGTGTAGGACATTCTGCTGGCTGAAGCAGAGCAGCAAGTGGTGCATATACTCCCATACTTAAGGTACCTAGTCCCCTAGGGCAGCCATTTAAGGCACTTGATGTGGAAAACCTCACAACTTCATCTCTCCCTTCCTGGAGCTAGAAATACAATCATATAAAACTCAGTACCTAACAATTTTCTGCCTGTTCATGACAGCTGAAATCTACCACCCACTCAGCTTAATTATGTGGCCTAACGAAGTGGGAAAGGCCCCACTGAAGCATGCACAGCAAAAGAAATGCACAATGCAGGGTTTTATTGGGTGGTTGGGTTATTGTTGTTTGGCCCACTCTTACCTGATGATGGGCCCTGCCCTACACCAGTAAGAAAGCTGAAGGCAAAATAGTCAAAGATATCAACAATGAGGAGTTTTGTTGTGGCATGTTACAGGCTAACCAATTTATTGGATCATGCGTGCTTATGGGCTACAGCCCACTTCATCAGGTAAAATGTGTATTGTTTCAAATGACAACACAATTTTATCAGGAACTCAATTGCATTTATATCTCTAGCTTGTTTCTCTCCTGTGGATCTCAGTCACTGAATTACATTTCTCTTTGTACCTGCCTCAACTCTATTCTAAAGGCAGCATGCATTTTGATAGCTGTAGGCTAGAAGGAAAAAAAAAGAATATTGCACAGTATTAGGCTGGCAAATATGTGTCTGACAAGCAAAACTAGATGAGATCATTATGAATCTTTTCTGGGGTGGGGGTACCTTCATCATGTGCAAAAAGGGAATAAGCCTATGCTATATAGATATGTATGAGAGTAGAGGCCAGTAACATTCCTCTCGTTTGTTGCTTATTTCCTTCCAGTGATTTTTCAGTCCTCCCAGCCAGATTCATTGCTTGGACTGAAACCCCTAATAATACATGACATTAACTTTACAGCTCAGCCCCTGAGCTTAGATTCCCCCAGTACTACAAATACACATATAAGTAAGCAGCAAAGATCCTGATCAAGATTTGGACTGACAGAGGAGGGAGACTAGGGAGGCCTTTTGCCTGGCATAAGCATCAGCTTTTGCAGTCCAATCTAGACCAGCTCCTCATGCTTTCAATTTGCATTGAAGGGGGGGGGAATGTACCCTAAACCTCTGCAACTCAAGAGCAGAATGTTGTACAGTACTGTATTCTAGCGCTGTTATAGCCAGACAAACATCTGTGAGCATACTTAGGTTTGCTTAGATTCTTTCTGGAGAAGGGCAGATGTGACTGCAGCTTCTTTTGCATTGTGCCCGAAGCGTTCTCCAGCAGTCACTCTCCAGAGACCTTGGGCTTTGACTCCAAGAAGCCCCAGCCACCGGATAGGGCTTCTGGGCTTTCAGATCCCAAACATTGGAAGAACCAAAGGGCAAGGCCCTCTCCCTCCCTTTGTTCTTCTAGAAGAAATAGGAGGAGAAAGAAAAGGCGTTGTTGACTGGTTAGAGGAGGATTTCGGGAGAGAAGTGAGAAAGAGAGAAATAGAATCCGCCTTCAGGGGAAATGAAAACAACAACCATATTTTATAAATGTCTATAAGAAAGCACTGAAATTGATGTTAATGAAATGAGAATGGAGTGGAACAAAGAACTGGGCTGCAGACCTAATTATTACAAATTATTGTTTTGTTTTATTTAATTTTATTTATATGCCGCCTTTCTCCCTATAGGGACCCAAGGTGGCTCACAACAACTAAAACTATAAAACAAACAACAATTTGAAAACTACTAATAAATGTCAGATTAAAAAATAATTAATGTAAATGAATTAATGTAAGATTAAAAATTAAGATTAAAAACCATTTTAAAACATTTAAAAACCTTAAAGTTAAAAAAAAGCATTCCTTTTTCTGCTCTAGCTTCAGTACTTAACATATCTTAAAGCTGTGCTTGGTTACTGCAGAACTGAATGTTTTGAATGTATTAGACACCATCTCCTTATTAGAAAGGAATTGGCTGTTTCATCTAAATGCTGGAACTGTAATATAGATAATGCTTCTTTGAGGCATCTGGTACAGAGGTATCCAGTGTTGGTCCCTTCTTGGTTGGATGTGTTACAACAAATTAACGTCATATCAGAAAACAATCATGCTTGTATCTGCATGCAGTTTTAAACTACATCTCTGAAATGTGCAACTTAACTAGTGATTTAACACAGTTGGACTTTACAAGCTGTTACTGTTGCTAAATGACTTGTATATCAAGGGTGGAAAGATAAACATACACTTTCCATTGTTCGGTGGTCAGAAGGTTAACTACTTGAACTACGCAAAGATGCTTATTTTATTGACACAAATTCCAAACAATTTTTCATAAAATATACATTCAGCTTAAATTAATAGATGTCCCTAGCCCACCGTTACACAACTACCCCCTCCTCCTTTTTCTTTCACATTTTGTGAGGGGTTGGGGACTGGAATAAATAATTTTAATAACAGAGTAAGAGAATATGTGCAAGAAGAATACAAATTGCGGAAGGAGAGGCGATAGCAAGTGCACAACAGAGGGAGAGGGAGAAAGAAAGCCAGCGAAAGAAAGAGTGTGGGGGGGCAGGGTGGAAGAAAAAGGGGGATGATTAACTGCCTTGATTCCTTTTGAAGCTCTTTGAAAGGCCATATGTTCCTGCTGTGACTAACTAGCAAGGCCAGTGGGTGCTTCATGCCTCTGTGTGTGTGTGTGTGTGCATGCACATGTGCACTGATAATGGAATTATTGTTTTGATATTAATGGTTTGTGCTAAGTACTTCTCATTGAATTAGTGTGACTCTAATTTTAAATGGATTTTATTTTATTTTATTTGGTCTTGCTTTTCATGCAACCGTTTTGTTCTGATGAGGATGCAGAACATCCTAGGGCCAGATGACAGAAAGGGACAGGCTTTTTCGGAAGGCCGTGGACCCTCAGAGTGGGTTGCTGAACCCCCTTCTGGGGAGGAAGGGAGACAAAGGGCCTGTCCAGGCGGAAGAATTTGGACTGGTCTGGTTCAGGCTTAAAAGGTTCTTATCTTCAGTGTGATCTAGTTTATCTCTCACTTGACTGATCCTTCTGTTCATCCTGATGTTTATTGTAACTGGAAGGCCTACAAGAGACTCCAGGCCAGCTCAGCTACAGAAATCTCAGTTGCAGGCTGGAGGGGAACTGGAAACACTGGGTTTGTCCACACTGTGTTGTTGTCCCTGGTCATTCTGGCATTTTGCTGTTACGGTTGTTATTTGTTGCAAGTTTGAATAGATAGATCATCCTGGTATTTGCATCCGCACATGGGATGGGTATTTGTAGCAGTTTTGTGGAATCTTCCCATTACTGTCTGGTCACACACACCCCAAATTGGTCCTTCACATCTCAGTCACACATTTTTTTTCTCTGTTTAAGGGGGGGGGAATCCGGAAACACTTCAGTTCTTCTCCCTGTTGCAACAGAATATGGGTGGGTGAATGAATGAATGAGAATGTCCTTTTGAAGTGGCTTTGAGTGGTTTTCAAGTGGTTTTAAATGGTGGGCAAGGGAGAAAGGAGTCATAGGGAAAAAAGAGAAGGTGAAGATGAACAAAGCAACACAGAGGAAGTGAAAAGAAGTGGGAAAGTGGATGAAATTACTTTCTCAATGGCCACTCCCTCACTCTAGTACTCTCTCTCTGCTGCTTTTCCAGTAGAAGGCAAATATGTATACTGTATATGCACACAGGATGTTATCATTTAAACAGGATTATGTTTATAGGGGGATTAATGGGCTGTTATTTTTCTATGTGTTTCACATCTCTTTTTACATGTTAACTCTATTTCTGTTTCTAGGGTTTTGAGTATAATTTTAGGCAGAAAGACAAGCTATACATTTGATAATCAAGAAAGCAAATAAACATCAAGTCGTTTATTGAGAAGGCTCTAAATTCTGTGATTAGGTACCTTTCCATAGCATTTCTAGTCCTTACATTCCTTTCTTTCCTGCAAGTATTAAATCTATTTATCCCCATTTATTCTTAAATTAATACACATAATTTTCCCTTGCTTATGTTAAGGTAGTCTTTTCTTACCTTGTCATTAATTAGCAGTTCCATTGGATTGTGTCCCCACACCAACAATACAAGCTCATTGGATTGTCCAGGTACCGAGTAGGAGAATGGGGTTCCTACCCCTCCTGGACCTTTGGATTTTAGCCACATGCAGATGGTGAAGGCATATAATTCAGGCAAACTCTTCTTTATTCTGGCATACATATAGTTGTTTCGGACAGGAATTGAGATTTTGAAGGCGTCAGGAGAGTTGAAGGATGTTGTTTCTGTGATGCAGAACAGAGAAATTTATTGAAAAAAGATGAAAAAGGATGGAAGTTGAAAAAACACAAGACTATAGATTGAGATACAGGGCTTGTAAAAATTTGTTTGGGTTTATTTGGACTAGAATTCCAACAATTGCCTAACCAGCACAGCCGTACTCTCCAGTGGGGGTCTATATTGAAGTTGTAATCCAGAAAGGCAAAATTGCCAGTCTCTGATGAGAAGTAATCCTTAACCCTAGAAATTTAATTTGATTTAAATTCAGTCTTTTAGTCCAGAAATTCAGTTACATACTTCAAAATACTGTACGGTATCTATACTGTTAGAGCCATTGCTAAAACATGGGTGAGAGGTTCCAAATTACTAGCACATGTTTATTTCCATTAGAACTCATAAAAAAAAATTGACTAACTATACCTATCCAATAGATTAAAGGAAATTCTTCTTCACATAGCACATATAATTAATTTATCTTATTAGAGATGTTTTAATGGCCACTTGCATAGATAGTTTTAAAGGGGAATTTACCTGCTAGTTCTGCCATGAGAGCTGTATGGATCTCCAGGCTTGCATTGTACTGGTGCACACTATTATGACATGTACCTTTGCCTCTTCCCATAAATATCACTTAAGATGCTTTTTGCTGGTTACCCTCTGGATTCAAACATTTAATTTGCAATGGCTGTATTGTAAATTGGCTGTTTGCTAGAGGTCCTTGTGTTTGTGGCCACTGTGGGAAACGTCTGCTTAAAGGTTATAGCTGCATTCTGTTCCAGTGACGTACATGCACTCCTGGCAGGAAGCAGCAGCTGCCAGCAGGCGGGGTAACCCCTTATTCTGCCCCTTCACTTAGAGGTAGAGTATAAGATCAAAGGGTTATATTAGCCAATCCTAGTTACGATTAGGTAACTAGGATCCTATCTGTCTCTCTCACAATATACTATGTAAATCATGCTAAGTAAATAAAAGAGCTCTCAGGGCGTTGCCTGTAGGCTCCGCTGGCTAGGACATCCACTGTCGACTCCTTTGTTCTCTCTAAGGCAATTAGCCTTCCTTTGTTCCATGATCACCCACAGGCCACCTTGTCCTAAGGGAGAACAGGTCTGGCTCCGGGTGTGAGGGAGCCATGGACAAGGTGCTTTTGTTGGGTGACTCCTTGTAGTGGTGCATGTATTGTTCCTTTTCCAGTCATAAATATTTGCTGTCCATGTTGACTAGAATTCGTGAATATGGGACACCTCCCACATATAGACTGGACATCTAATGGACTGGCTGAATATAGAACTGGAAGAAACTTAGAAGATCATCTCGTTCAGCTCTCTTGTCAGTGCCCACGCTATGTAATGCAGGACCCAGGTACAGGATCCCTGATAGATGGCCATTCCATCTCTGCTGAAATAATTCTAACCAAGGAGACACACTCACAACAGCAGCAGCAGCAGCAGCAGCAGCAGCAGCAGCAGCAGCAGCAACAGCAACAACAACAACAACAACAACAACAACAACAACAACAACAAGGTAGTCTATTCTGCTACAAAACTGCTCTTCTCCTTGCAAGGACTAACCATGCTCAAGATCAGCCACCCGGTGTTGGAGGGCATCCAGTTCCTTTTCTACCTCATGCTGCTGCTGCAACTCATGGTTGCTGGCGATGGATGAGCGTTCTTTCTCCAGAGCCAAGATCTTGGAGAGAAGTTGCTCTTCCAGTTCTTCCATCTTGGTATGGATTGTCTCTTGGGCTGGCATGGGGGCAGAAGTAGAAGAAGCATTCATTCGGGCTGGGATATCTTGCTACTCGCACGGAAAATGTAAGCCAGGAAAGAGAAGAAGAAATACATTGTTAAAATGTAGCAACAGTACCATCATCATAGCAAAAAGAACATATGTATAAAATGTTGAACTGAACTGTCATGAAAAATTGGAGAATGCCCTCAAAATCAGCTACAAATCAGACATTTATTGTGTTTTGGTATGCCCATTATACTGAACTCCCTAAGTCACAGGACAGGGATTATACCTCAATAGTAGAACAGATAGCTTGTATGTAGGAGATCTCAGTTTCAATTCCTTGCTATTTCCACTTAAAGCAAGAGTGCACAAACTTTTTAGCTTGAAGGCACATTATTGTCCCTTGATGAACAGGAGGACACATTCATGTGTACATGCACACATACACACATTCCTCTTCCCCGCATTCTGACACATCTCAGTGCAAAGGGTTGAGGAAGTATAAACCTCCTCACCCTGCTTGCTGAGGTACATGGATCATAGTGTGTGTGTGTGCTCGTGCGCGCGCCAGTGAAAGTATCTCCCTGTTGATTGTTGTCCAATAATAGGAACACAAATTTGAAACATCCAGGAGCACTCCAAGGGAGCAACAGGCACCTGGAAGGCCTGTAGCTCAAGCAGGGCCTTTAAATCTTCTTGGGACACACCACCTGTTCTATGCACCTCCCCTTGGCTTTAAAGGATCAGTAGTAGATGATGGGAAATATATTTCGATGTGACACTGGAAAACTACTGCCGAACATACACTGGGAGTCTTGTTCTGAAACACTATAAAATAGCTTCATGTAGCCCACAGACTGAAGAAAGAAACAGGCAATGTCATCCTCCCAAGTTCCAGCATGATCCCATCATTATCCCTGACAGCCTATCTGTCTCTCCTGTCTTTACCTGGCTGCAAATGTTTTGTGCTCAGGCCTAGGTCTTTGTCAGGATGGCAGCCAGATCTTCTTCTTGCTAATGGACTCCCTTGTTTTGCTTTAGACCTTTCTGCCTATCACTGCACTTGTCCTTTATCCTGTGTTTCTTCCAGTCCAACACATTTTCATATATCAACCTGAATTTGCTTTTTCCTGTCAACATTCCTACTTCCTGCATTTGCCACTACTGTCAGAAGATCCATGGCCAGTAGTCATGATGGTGCGACCTGTAATAAATGACGTGTAAATAGGCACACGTCTGTAAGCAATGACTCAGGGGGAGGGTGGGGGACTGTAGTGGGGAAGAAGTAGCCCTTCTGTTATCATTGGATTGCAGCTCCATCAGTCTTAACCAGCATAGTCAATGACGAGGGAATGATGGGAGCTGTAATTCACTGGCTCTAGAGGGCCACACATTCCCCCACCTTTGGTTTAACCTGCTCTTCTGTGGTATGTTTGAAAACTCCTCTTAGGTTTTTAGCTGTCTAACCTGCTGCTAACCATGTCTTTTCAATTTTGTTTGTCTTTACAATTAGATTGATTGCTCTTTCAGAAATGTGAGTTCAAGTTGAAATATGGACTACAACTACTTGAAAAACCAACAAAATAAATGTTGGCACATATGTGCCTTTTGTGCAGTACAAAAGATTATTTCTGATCTTTTCATACTTTCTTGATTCAGAATGGAAAAAAATTATCCTAAAGCATTTCATTTTTTCCCCTGAGGACAATTTTCTCCTCAAAAACAGCTACTGTGGGTAGAAATGGGACCCAATGTTTTCCCTTAACTACAGCTGAGGATGAACAAGAAGTGGGCCTCTTGCCTGCCACTGGGAGCAACATCTGTCCTCTGGAAATGGCATAATAATTTTGTAATCTGCTTAGCTCAGCAGAGGCTCTACACTTTGTGAGGTTCTGTGCAGAAGGCATTACATTGCTAAGGCAGGAAGAGTACTCACAACTAGAAACATGGCCTTGTCATAGCCAGTCTGCCTGCCGGTACTAGCCAATTTTGCTAAGAAGCAGGCAAAGAGGCGAGACTGCATTTTAAAGGCAACTCTTTTGTGCTTGTTCCTGAATGAGAAACATTGAATTTATTTGGGTTCCTGCACAGGGGTCGAGTACATGCATTTAACGTACCCAGATGTCACCCACCTGCAAGCCAAGCAGCCCTTTGCTTGGTCAGAGGTTTTTTGTTTTGTTGTTGTTTGTTTGTTTGGTTTTTTTTTTTTTTACTCTTTGCTTGGTCAGAGGCTTTTTGTTTTGTTGTTGTTTGTTTGGTTGGGGTTTTTTTTGGTGGGGGGGACTACTATACCCCAGATCCCCTAGCCAGTTTAGCTGCTGGCTATGCTGACTGGAGGATTCCACGAGTTGTAATCCCCACAAGTAATTTTTCCAAGATCTGAGCTTAGTACAACAGAACTCATTTCCATCTTTGCATTTCATGGCACTTTTAAATAAAATGCAGAGTGTGTCTGTGTGCGCCTCCATATGTATCTGAAGCTGCCTGACCAAAATGGTTTCATGAGCCTGTGAGATGTTGTGTGTGTAGAAGAGAGAAAAGAGGGTGTGTGTAAAACAAAGCTCTATGCAGAGACTGGAAAAGTTACTTGTTTTGACGTTAATTACAGTTCTTTAATTCCCAGAATCTGACTGAGGGATTTTGGGTTTCACAGTCAGAAGTACCTATTTGAATAAAAGGAAGCTACGCCTGGACCGGCTGCCAGCTGCCTCTCATTGTATATGCCCTCCTTCTTTTCTATACGATGCTGGAAGTAATGGCAATGTAAAGAGGAAGGAAAAAAGGAGGGAGAAAAGAGGAACCTGGTGATGCAGGGAATGAGGATTTGCTCAAGGATTTGGTTTGGACCCCATTTCAAAGCAAACCAACCTGGTCCGCAGGCCCTTGTGGATTGAAACAATGTGAGCATTTGGATCTCTCACTTCCTCTGATGTTTGCAATCCAGCTCTTGATTTTTTTTTTTAATGGGCCAAAATGTAGAGCCTGGGAACATTGCTTTTCTAGACAACAGCTCTAAGAATGGGAGTTGTCATTCAAAAGCCAATTTTTCCAAGTTCTGCCAAAATGCATATAAAACATATATTAAGAAAAAAATATGTTTGGTAAAAAATATGTTTACAAATAAATGCATGTTAGGAAATTTCATGCTATTTTTTTTAAGTGATGATTTGGAAGGAAACCAGACAGAACAGATGCACACATTGATTCATAAGAAACAGTTACTAAGAGGAAATCGACTGATGTCATGGATCCTTTGTGGGTTTGAAATCAAAGAAAAAGTTGAAAGAGAGAGGCAAAAATATAGTGAGAGAAAGAGGACACAGGGAAATGCAAGGGGAAGGAGGTTGCTGTTCTCTCCTTTTCCCACCCAGGATGCCATTTCATGGACCATTACCTATTAATCATCATCAGCAAGGCTAGTCTTAACCCTTTTGCTACCCTTCAAGGGAGGTAAATGGATTTTGTAGACCTCCTTTGCCCTCTATGATTCCCCACTGTGCGCTGTCATTGCAGCAAAAGCTTATCTAAAGAAGCGTGTCTATTATTCAAATCAATCTCTGTGGTGTTTTTTTTCGATGGGGTACCTCCAGGGCCTTCCTAATTAATGCTGTAGCTCATCATTATTCAATGTGTATTCTCTCTTATGTGCAGGAGATATGTTAATAATCTACATCTACGCAAAACAGCCCTTTCCGTAGTTGAGTGTTCTGTTTTTTAAGGCTGGGTTAACACACACACACACAACCCAAACCCAAAGTATCAGGTCACTATCAGCTTTCTTTCCCTTGAAAAGTTGTGTTTTGGGGGCACATAGCATGTGTCAAATTCGTCTTGGTGACAGTGGCCAAATGTAGATGTTTAGGGAAGTATACAAGTACATTTTAATGACTTTTTTCCATTATTAGCCAAAATATAATGTTCATCATCAGAAATCCTTCTCAAAACCTCTGTCGGACAAAGAAGATCATAGCTTTGTTCTGGAACTCCCTGATCAAAGAGGTCTACCTCGGCTCTTCCACAGACAGGTTTCCAACTTTGGCTTTGGCTTTACTGAAACCTGCTTTGCTGGTTTAAAATCCAGCTCTTTACTGCTTTTCTTTGACAGCCTCCTAATGCTTGTTTCTTTTCAAGGACAGTACTTTTGATGATTTAGTTGTATTTGTAATATTTAATATATGTTATATCACATTATAACACACATGTAATATGTTATAGTGTGATATATTATAATATATTATAATTATGTTATAACATGTGCGTGCCATATCCTCATAGATGTTCTCCAGATGGTTTACAATGAAAGAAAAGCTTTGCATAAAAGCTAAAACTATAAATCCAAATCCAGAACAAAATATGGAGAATTAAACAAACATAACAAAAGTTACTATTTGTTAGCCACCTTGAACGTCTTTGGAAGGCAGAATATAAAACGTTATTCTGTGAATAAAATAAGAGTTAAGTAAGTCCATGCCTTATTTCACTTGCATGATACCCTGCTTCGATCTTCTGTTTATCACTAAAACGTAAGATGACCAATTCCTGGTCTCTTCAGCTAAAATGCTGTTGTATTTCTACATTCCTACCAAAGCTGAACAGCAGCCTGAGCTCTGATTTCAGTTCAGAGTGGTCAGCTAAATCTGTTAGATCAGCAGAAGGGCTGGAAACCAATCCATGCCCTGGCCTGGGGCAGCTGAACTGTTCTCGAGCAAGGGAATCCTGAATCAGGATCTCCAATTAGTACCTCCAGAACGTTGACCTCATCCCTGAAAAATCAACCTCCTCCACACTGGGGAAGAACCTTGCCCCTACATGTCAAATCAACAACACAGGAAATTTTCCTGGCAGAAATGGCCAAAATGAAGAAAGAGAGGTAGTGTTCAGTTTAGAGACCTGTTCCTTAGAAGCCATGCATATCTCGTGAAAGATTCAGGGTCTGGAGTTTAGAGGCAAGCAAACCATCACTCAGCTCTTACAATTGGGTGGAACAAGGGAGCAAGACCGGTCAGTAATGATACAACTACTGACCTGTTCTGTCCCCTCGTTCCATTAGCATTGCTTCCTTG